GGGCACACCGACGGCGTCCCCTCCCCACTCTGCCGGAGCTCGCCACCGGGTAGTAAGTTGCCGCCTTTCCACCACCCGACTGTCCCCCAGAGCGACAAGCTTTGCAGCTGGTTGGTGTGGCTGGGCCCCTGGGTGTGGGACACGTACACAAACAATCTCGAGTCCTCACAATCAGAAACACGCACATACACGCCAGCACACACACTTGCGGGGACACACCACTGCAATCACAAGCTACCGTAGCCCTCCTTCCAGTCCCAGCAGCCCAGAGGCCCACACTGCGGCCATTTCTCTCCTGCGGGCGCCGGGAATGGAGGGAGGGGGATAGTGGCCAGACCTGGGGAGGCCTGGCGGGACGGGTGCGGCCAGGGAGGCGCCCCCTTTTCCCAACCTAGTCCCGGGAGCCCCGAGTAAGCGAGTCGCACAGTCACCAGTAACGCGCCGAGCGCGGTTTCTACCAGCATAGGAAGCGCGGACCAAGGCCAGAGATACGAGATCCGGGAGAGAAAAGAAGGCAGTAACAGAGAAACCGGGAGGCACACGCAGAAAGAGAAAGGGGGTGGGGGCCTAGAGAACCGAATGGGGCGAGGGAGAAGAGAAGGGCCAAATTAAAAACTAGGAGATGGCATGTGTGGGGAAGTCTTGTAGAGGTGCCAGCTCCTCTGAAACTCAGCCTCCAGCCACATCTTGTTTGGTGTAGCACAGCCTCACCAGGGAAGGTGACAGAGCAGCAAAAAGCACAAATAAATCTCTGTATCTTCTACCTTTCCATTGTAAATCAGGTTGTGAACCTGCATGCCCTGGAAAACATAATCCTGCTCCTCACTCACTATGCACTCTGTGGCCCAGCCTGCATGCTGCTTCCTACTGGAGGCCGACCCCATTTGATAAATAGATGCGGCTTTGTTTTGGGGGACCTATTCTGGACTTGGTTAATCTATTCAGGATGGTGGGGGATGAGGAATGGAAGTTTTGGAGATTGGCACCTCTGACAGAGCCTTCAACAAATCTCAGGCAGACCTGGCTGTAGCCACCTCACCATTTACCAGAATGGGCGGCAATTTCCTCCCAGCTGCGCACACAGAGACATACATGCCCCATGATCACCCAACAAGCAACTTCGTTGGAGCAAACCAGGAACCCCCACCCATCCCCATTTACCTCCCCAGGCAGCTCAGATTCCTAAAGGTCAAAATAATCCTGACTTAAAAATAATCCCCACCACAGCCCTCTTTGCACAGTCCTGGCTTTTTGGTTTTTGTTTTGTTTCCACTTGTGCTTTAGACTAAGGGGAAAAGGAGGAAGAAAACCGATTCTTCCAATCCGACTCTATTGTAAACGAAAGAAAAGTAACTGCAAATAAACTCTATCAAGTTCAGAAGCCCGGGGAGTCATAAACCTTTCCTGGCTCTGCAGACTTCGGGCAGATGTTGATGGTTCAATTTACCGGGCCTCAGAACCTCCGCAGCTGTCCTGAGCGGGGAGGGGCGCGGGAGGGGTCAGAGCTCTCCCCGAGCGGCCCGGGGTCCAAAGACGCCGGAAATGCGAAATCCACTCTAACCCTGCGCAAGGCCAGGAGTACTCCCTTCTCACCCCGGGCGCCGGCTTCCGAGGGCGCTGTCGTCCCAGCGCCCCGCTGTCGCCCGAAACTCCAAGGAAGAACCCCGGGGAAAACTGAGACCTGGCAGAGCAGGAGGATCAAATGGTCACTACGACCCGCCTTTGCTCAAAAGGTTCCTTGGCTGGTTTCCCAAGCCTGCCACCTCAGGACACTTCGTATGACCCGCCGCAGGCCAGGCGGAGCTTGGTGGCCCCGGACACTGCCAGCCCTTTCTCTTGGGACCCCCACCGCCCTGCCTCGCTCATCCATCGTCCCAGATCCTCTTCCTCAGCCGCGCCAAACAAGAGCCTGTTTGGTGTCGGCTCTGCCTTGCTTTATTTTTCCTTGCACTTTCTGCCCAGCAAAGTGGGTAAAAGGCCCAAACCAAAAGGCTGCCTCTCAAAAATTTCTCAGCGACGAGGTTCTGCACTCGGCACATCAAGACCACTAACACACCCTCTCCTCCCGCCCCAGACGCAGGCGCACGAGCTGGAGCCCTAGGAGTTAATGTCCCTGCTGCCAGGTCGTCCGGCGATTAGAGCCTGGGGAAGCTGAAGGCTGGAGTACCCAGAGTGCTCTGTATAGCACACTGAGATTCACTCCGCTCTCGGCCACTGACGCCGCGCACTTTCCCTCAACCCGTCGGGGCGCCTCGCACTCACCAGCGTTGTAGGCCGCCAGATCCGCCCCGGGGCCGGGGCTCTTGCGCTTCCTCGGCCGCCCCTTCTGCACTGTGCCCACACCATTGTAGTAGGGAAGACCCAGAGGGTTGGCCCCGGCTGCGCCCAGCCCCGCGCTCTTGGCAGCGGCAGCTGCCGCCGCCGCGGCCGCCACGTCCGCGTGGTTGAAGTGCGCGGGGTACTCGCCCTGCAGCAGCGCCTCGAAGTGCAAGCGGCAGTAGACCAGGCTGTCCTTCATGCCGAAGTGGTCACCTGTGGTCAGCATCTTGTTACACGTGGTGCACGTGAAGCAGTTGAGGTGATAAACCAAGTCCCGAGCTCGCATCACCATCTCCGAGGCCGAGATGCCCAGGTGGCAGCGGGCGCAGCGCTGCACAGAGAACCGCCTGTAGGGACCATCGAGGGAGGGACTGTGGGGACACACGGTTGGGTACCCCCCATATCCCTCCTCCAATGACACTGCTGCTACTGGAGGAAATCCACTCCTCAAGGTGGACAACCAGGTCTTAACTTGGAGGATGGGAGGAGAGGGAACTAGACTTTGGCCCAGGTCTGGCCCTACCCTGAAATACAGTTCCCCTTAACCATTTTCTTGCCTACCAAGGCTTTACTTTACCCAGAGTCTGAGCAAGCTTTAGGAAAGCCTCTGCTTGGGAAGGAGGGGGAAACTTCCTAGTTATCCCTCCCTTGCCCTCCACACTAGTGCCTGGAAATCCTGCAGACCTTTATAATTTGCTAGAAACAGAGTAGGGAGAGAGAGGCAGAGGCAGAGAGAGAGAGAGAAAGAATAAGCAGACCTAACCCTAAACCCAGAGAGGAGAAACAAGGAACCTGGAGCCTGTTAGTGATTCCGGTTCTTTAATCCTGGCCAGCTTTCACTCCCATCTCCAGGAAAGACCCGGAAATACACCCAATCCGATACCCCCAGCTCTCCCTCCAACTTTGTTTCACCAACCCAGGCAGTTTGGGGTGTCTGTTTCTTTTCCCTCTAATTGACCCAAGAAACTTCAAAGGGAGAAAGGGGCAAGGACCCCCCCTAACCCAAGCTTAGTTTTGGTCCAAGCTCAGAAGAGGGCTGTTTTTTTCTGGGTCCCTACACTTCCAAGAGTTCCCTCAAAGTGCTGTTTTAAAAGGTTATCATCTAATTTGTACTGGCTTGGAGAAGCGGAGACCTAGGTAGGGAACCCTCCCTTTGGATTGGAGGGAAAGGCGACCGGATATTATGGCGTCTGAGATGAGGGGTCCTGGATGCCCAGGGAAGTGGGTCCCGAAATGGGGGCTACCTGTAGTAGTCTTCTTTGCAGTAGATGCTTCCATCTTTGCTGAAACAGGTGAGCTCCGACTCCAGGTTGAGCTTGCACTCGCAGCACTTGAGGCAGCGCATGTGCCACTGCTTGTCCACCGCCAGCAGGTAGTAGCGGTCCGAGATCTTGCCCCCGCAGCCGGCGCACAGCGCAGCGCGATCACTGCTGATGGACGGCATGGTCTGCGGAGGGAGGGAGGCGCGAGACCGCAGCGCCTGCGTCAGCCTGCGACCCCGCCGCCGCCGCCGCGGGGGAATGGGCACCCGGAGCTCCCTCCGTGTCTCCGGCTTGCCCTAAACGCGGAGGGCGCCGCCAGGGTGTGCGGTGCGCTTCTTCCACCCCAAAAGGCCCATATCCAGGGTGCCCAGAACCCAGGCCCGCCCACGGAGCCCAAGCCAGCCACAGGCCCAGGACCGGCTGCTGGCCTGGATAGATCTTCCTCTTTACGTCTCCCGCTTCCTGTCGCCTCTGCTCTTTTTCCAGAAAGGCTCATACTGTGTTTGAAGACTAAGGCCGTGGTGGCTACTTCAGCCAAGCCCTCCAAAAGCTCCCCCCAAACTGTTTCTTAAAAGGAGCCACTCCACTAGGCCCCAGGAAAAGGGGTAAGATGACCATTAAAAGTCACCCTCCACACAGACTCCTCTCCAGAGATACCGTGAAGTTCCTGGCCTCTAATCCTGGCGATCTCTCAATCCTTAAGCCGAAGGTTTAGGCCAGGGCAAATCGCACAGCAACCTCTGCCCCTCCACCACCTCTTCCACATTGGCTGGGGCCCTCTTGGGTCCTGGGAGATGGTGAGTGGGGTGCATGGGCACCCTCAAAGTCTCTGAGTGCAGGACAGGCCCAATCCAAACCCTCCCCTGTCCAAACTGACAGGCTGAGAGGGTTTAACCTGGGAAGAAGAGTTCGAAGCAGAGGCACTGGGCAGCTTCTCTTGCTTTCCAAGCAGAGAAGCTTTATTCATGCTCCCCACCTCCTCGGCTTCTAAAGGTCTCTTCTGGGCCCAGCTTGCACAGTGTCTGCTCTTCTGGCCCCTAGGGAAGTCTGAGGCAAGGAACTGGGTCTATTTGGGGCTGGGCCGGTGGAGCCAGGTGTGGAGGTCTGAATGGACTCTCCTTCCGCAAGAGCCAGGCCAGAGCCTGAACTCCCAGCCCTAACCCGGCGAAGTAGGGAGGCCCAAGATGCGATCAACGAAAAGCGCTGGCCCAGACGACTTCGACCCCTGAAATTGCGCTGGGGAGGAAACCCCGATTGCCAGGAGGCGGGGAAAGGCCCAAGTCTGCTGGAGCTGCCGGTTGGTTTGTCCTTCCCCGCGCCGCAGGCGGCGCCGCCAGCAGCTAGAGCCGAGTGGTGGAGAGCCCGGGGCTGGCGACCAAAGAGCTGGAGAAGTGAAAAGAGAGTGATCCGGGCCGCGGGTAGGACTTCGCTCCCACTTCGGGAGAAATGTTCTCTTCCACCCTCCGGGTCTAAAATTTCGGTTTTAACCTTGTTTCCCTCCTCCTCCCCAGCAGCCGGGTTTCCCCCGAGCGGGGAGCTACGGGCCTTGCATCCTGTCTACAGATCCCCAGCGTCCAGTCCCGTACGGCACGAAGGACGCTCCTCAAAGTGCCCCCAAAC